TAGGGCATGTGAGCCGTGTGAAGAATTGATTTGGTGGTCTCTATAATATGTCGGTGTTTCCTTTCAGCAACACCGTTCTGTTCCGGTGTGTACGAACATGAAATTTGATGTAAAATACCGTTTGTTTTCAAAAAATCAGTAAAAGATCGACTAAGATATTCACCTCCTCCATCAATGCGAAGGCACTTAATTTGTTTTGACGTGTAGTTTTCAATTTGATTCTTAAAATTAAAGAACGTATGAGCAACCTCCGACTTATGCTTTAAAGGAAATAGCCAAGTAAAATGCGTGCAGTCGTCAACAAAAATGACATAATATTGAAAACCTTTCTTAGAAACATAAGGTGCAGGACCCCAAATATCAGAATGTATAAGTTCTAAAACATTTGTTTTGCGAGATAAAGACTTTGTAAAAGGAAGTTTATGTGCTTTAGAAACATTGCATGTAGTACATGAATTTGTAAAATCTATGCTCAATTGAGGATTTGAAGAAGCTATCAAATGTAAAATGCTATTATTAGGATGTCCCAATCTATTGTTCCAAGAAAAGTTGTGGCACGAGCAGTAGAGTAGGCATGATGCGGAGATGCGTTACTGGTAGTCCGAAGCTTGTACAGGTCGTTATTACACGGTCCTTGAAGAAGCACTTCTTGAGTCGTCAAGTCCTTCAAAGAAAAACCATTACGATCGAAAACGATTGAAATATTGTTATCTTTAGTAAGCTGAGATATGAAAATTAAATTGTAATGAAGATTTGGAGAGTGAAATAATTGTGATAGTTTGAGCTTACGATCTGGTAGCGATAATAAACCTGTACCGGAGTTGGCAATGCTCACTGTGCTACCGTCTCCGATTATTACTCCATCTTGACCGTGATATGGAACAGAGACGGATAAGTTTTCGAAGGAGTTCGTGAGATGTGAAGAAGCGCCTGAGTCAAGAAACCATTATGTGGAGTTTCTTGAATTTCCCACAGCAAGTGCCGTTGTGGAACTGTTGACAGATTGCGGTGTGTAACTCAGATTTGATCTGTGCCAGTAGGAAGACGCTCCATGACCTTTCTTGAAACAAATTTGATAGATGGTAGAGGCATGAGGGGTGGTTCGTTGTGAGTTCGACGAGTTGTTCGAACCCTTGCCGCGATTTCGTCGACCCTGACCTCGAGCAGAATAAAGAACTGTAGTCGTATCTGGGATGGCGGTAGATCGAGATGCATCAGACGCAAGATTGATTTCTTCACTAAGAAGAAGAGCATACAGGTTGTCAAGGCTGATGGGGGTTAACATGGTGCGGATGGCTGTTTTAAAGGACTGGTATGTGGAGGGAAGACCATTGAGGATGTATAAGATGATATCCTCGGTATCTACAGTAGATCCAGCGGATGCAATGTTATCAACTAAAGATTTGATATCAGCAAGATATTGAGTCATAGATGAGTTTTTAAGAGAAATATGATGTAACTCATTCTTTAGTTGAATCACTTTGGATCTATTGGTAGATTGAAAACGTTGTGCAAGAGTGTCCCAAATGGCGTCTGTGGAGTCAAGTTGGATGATGTAAGGAAGAACAGGTGCGGAAATGGTTGAGCAAATAGCAGCAGAGAGATTTTTGTCCGTGAGATGCCACTGGACGAACTTAGGATTCAAAGATGAAGAGGAACCATCGGTTTGAGGTAAAGAATAGGAAGGAATGGGAAATTTTGAATCAAGAAAGGTTGCAAATCCATTTGCAGAAAAAACTTTAAAGATTTGAGACCTCCATATAGAGTAATTTTCGGGTGAAAGTTGGATTTGAACGATGGATTTGAGATTAGAAACAACAAATTTTAGGGTAGAGGAGAGAACCGGTGGATCTTGCGTTGCGGATGATTCGCGTTCTTCGATTTGAGATGAAGCCGTGGTAGCCATTGTCGCGATTCTTTATCGCCTGCTTCTGATACCATGTAGATGTTGCCAGTTCTTGAACTGAGCTCACGGAGACAGAGAAAGGAAAACGTAAAGCAAAGACATAACAGGGAAAAGGAAAATATTATTTCTGATGTGTTTTCTATGTACAGGCGGTGCCTATATATAGGCTTTTTACATAACAATTTACTATTTTATCCAATCCTATTAAGCCACGTATTTTTTTTGTTTTAATATCTTAGATGTATCTGCTAATAGAAAACACGTCGTATGCGTATAACATGAGGTACCATGACTAATTGTCTTTCTATAAGGTCCATGTCATCTTCAATATTTGTGTTAGACTATCATGTTCCTAATAATGATAAATAAATCAATGTAAGACCTCAACATTAACATCGATGGAGGGTTGACTAGGTTGATTGTATCCATTGTGACGTAAATCGGATGAATAATAATAATAATAATAATAATAATAATAATAATAATAATAATAATAATAATAATAATAATAATAATAATAATAATAATAATAATAATAATAATAATAATAATAATAATAATAATAATAATAATAATAATAATAATAATAATAATAATAATAATAATAATAATAATAATAATAATAATAATAATAATAATAATAATAATAATAATAATAATAATAATAATAATAATAATAATAATAATAATAATAATAATAATAATAATAATAATAATAATAATAATAATAATAATAATAATAATAATAATAATAATAATAATAATAATAATAATAATAATAATAATAATAATAATAATAATAATAATAATAATAATAATAATAATAATAATAATAATAATAATAATAATAATAATAATAATAATAATAATAATAATAATAATAATAATAATAATAATAATAATAATAATAATAATAATAATAATAATAATAATAATAATAATAATAATAATAATAATAATAATAATAATAATAATAATAATAATAATAATAATAATAATAATAATAATAATAATAATAATAATAATAATAATAATAATAATAATAATAATAATAATAATAATAATAATAATAATAATAATAATAATAATAATAATAATAATAATAATAATAATAATAATAATAATAATAATAATAATAATAATAATAATAATAATAATAATAATAATAATAATAATAATAATAATAATAATAATAATAATAATAATAATAATAATAATAATAATAATAATAATAATAATAATAATAATAATAATAATAATAATAATAATAATAATAATAATAATAATAATAATAATAATAATAATAATAATAATAATAATAATAATAATAATAATAATAATAATAATAATAATAATAATAATAATAATAATAATAATAATAATAATAATAATAATAATAATAATAATAATAATAATAATAATAATAATAATAATAATAATAATAATAATAATAATAATAATAATAATAATAATAATAATAATAATAATAATAATAATAATAATAATAATAATAATAATAATAATAATAATAATAATAATAATAATAATAATAATAATAATAATAATAATAATAATAATAATAATAATAATAATAATAATAATAATAATAATAATAATAATAATAATAATAATAATAATAATAATAATAATAATAATAATAATAATAATAATAATAATAATAATAATAATAATAATAATAATAATAATAATAATAATAATAATAATAATAATAATAATAATAATAATAATAATAATAATAATAATAATAATAATAATAATAATAATAATAATAATAATAATAATAATAATAATAATAATAATAATAATAATAATAATAATAATAATAATAATAATAATAATAATAATAATAATAATAATAATAATAATAATAATAATAATAATAATAATAATAATAATAATAATAATAATAATAATAATAATAATAATAATAATAATAATAATAATAATAATAATAATAATAATAATAATAATAATAATAATAATAATAATGGCGGTTGATAGCTGTTTATATCATACAGTTATCCGTCGAAATGATATAAATTTTATCTATTATCACATAATCCATCTCTTCACTGTTCTTCCAGATTTGTACAGAAGTACTCCAAGCAAATTTTGCATTTTGGAAAGGCACAAAAGCAAATATCTTGTGACGTTATTAATGTACATGGCGTCCTCAATTCTCCAGAGACCAGCAAAAACAATAGTAGCACTTGTTCCAACACGTCAGAGCTTAGACGCTCAGAAGATGAAATTTCTATCTTAAATCCCTCCTTACACATTTCTAAGAGTACTAATGGCATAGAGCCAAACAAGGAAGAATTCTTAGTGCTCCCAAATGAAACCAATTTTTCTTTATCAAATAATGAGAAGCAAGCAAATGAAGCTCTCCAGTTTAACAACCCAATGCTCGCTTATCAAAACAAGAAAAAGATTGCGAAGAGGAATAAAACAAAGACGCCAAAGTCTTGGAAAGCGCACATTCTTGGTTTATTAGCTAAGTACGTATAATTTTTCTTAGTTGTTTGGAGTGAAATTTAGATTGCTTATGTTGTTTGTAATTCTTCCAGGTTAAAGATCAAAGATAGAGCTGTTTTGACTGGCGTTTTGTCTAAGTATGGAGAAGTTGCTTCAGCTGTATCGAATGAAATCTGATAAATTCATACTGTGCTATAGCAGATGGTTAATATATTTCTGCTCTTCCGATCTTTTTTTTTAAACAATGAACTGTTGGAATAGGTTTTGCAGAGATGCACAGATCTTTTAGCAACAAAGGAAATTAGTTATGGGATGTTCGTGCTTTTACTCTTGGTGGAAACCGCTTTCTTATGGGAATTTAAGGCTTTGTTTGAGACATCTTTCTTATTGCTTATTAAAAGCATAAAATTTTAATTTTTTTTATTAAAAAGTTGCTTTAGGTTTTGTTTGGGACGACTTTCTTGATGATTCTTAAAGCAGCTTTCTTGTACAAATATTTAAATTTGTGTACTAAAAACTGCTTCAAGAGGGAACTAGAAAGCCGTTCCAAACGAAGCCTCAAGAAACAATAAAAAAGCACCCAAATGAAGCCAAAATCTACAATGCAACCGCATATCTTCAGATTAAGAATAATAAAAAAAAATGACAACGATGAATCATCTAGTTAGGTGATTTCAAATTATCACAATTTACAACAGTAAAGGTGAGAACACTTTGTGAAATAAATAACCTGCCTATTTGACATTAACAATTAATTAAGCTTCCTCATCATCATTAGAGCTGAAATCCTCCAAACGTCGGTCTTTGATTGCAGGAAATATCGACTGCCGGGCTTCCGACATTGATTTCAGTATTGTATTATCCTTGCTTCTTGATGTACTCATCACTTTCCTTTGTGTTTCTCTGACTTCTTTGCAGACCTTATCCAAAACCTCAAGGAAATCCCTCACTGTGACAAACAATCTCAACCCCTCGTCTCTTCCAGCATTCCCATGGAAATAGTCAGTGGTAAGCTTTACTAATGATCTTATTCTCTTTTCTTCCTCCAAAAGTTGAGTGATATCAGCCTCAGCATGCTCAACAAATGCTTTCAAAGAATCATGAAAAGCACTTTTCTCCTCCAAGTTACTCATATCAGCGTTTAAGAACTCTTTTGTCTTCGCTAATCTATTGCCAAGACTTACAACTGAGCTCGTTAAAGCATCGGCGTCCAGTGCTGCAGCTTTCTTGACATTCTCAAGTTCATAGCTCAGGCTTAAAACAGCCCTGAGACCAAGATTTCGATACTGATCTTCAGATTCTTCAGGAATTTCGTCGCTGAAGTCGACAGAGTTAAAGCTAGAAATTGTAATGCTGGAGTTACTCCTACTATCTCTTGCTATTTGCACGGCACGCCTGCCTTCGGAGCGGATGATCTCTTGAACAACAAAATGTAGTAGTGTGGTCTTTCCATCGGCGCCTTTAATGTCTGAAAGTTTCAATAGTGTGTCAAGCTTGAATGCCTCTGCTCATCCACGGTATGTACCATCATTCATGCGGTTCCCAGTTTTGAGAATAGCTTCCAACAATTTTAAAAATAAACGACTGTTTTGGAGATCATTGCAGGCTTCCTAATACAACATAAGAGAAGATAAAAAGTTTATAGTATGTGGGGGCATGTTGCTACAATTGAAAATGGAAGGATATAATAAACTGATTGTATAGAGAAGTGCAATAATAACAGGATCATTAGAGGAAAAATTATTATATGCGGACACCGAACGTAGTATGGAAACCAATAAAAATGCACCGCATCATTCTTTTACTGTATCAGGGCTAAGTATTGCTTGATACCGCGGCATCCGGACGTAGAGCTGCGTCCGGCATCCGGCGTCCACACAATAATTTTTTGAAAGATTGACGTTGTATGGAAACTAGAGTCTGAAATGTATATATATAAGGATACAAAAATAATTTTTTTATACATAATCATTTTTCACAAACTTGTTTGTTAGTATTAGAAAAGTTCAACATAATTGGATGAAATAGCGGGAGACTAAGAGGCTTTCCGATTTTTGAAGGGATAAATTGCATGAAATAATAGATAAATAAAAATCTGTACTTCATAGAAAATCTGTACTTCATAGATAAATCAATACTTTTGGCCATAGCATAGCGCAGCTTAACAAATGCGTATGCTTTACAAAATATAAGCATTTACATATCATAGTGACAATATAATACTAAAAAAAAAAGCCTAACTATGTCAGGAGAGAGACTTACTTCCACAGTAGCAAGTGATTCCTTCATATTTGAGGATTCCTCTTCGAATGAAGTCATGAAAAGCAATGCATCAATCCTTTTGAAAGCAAAAGGAATATTCACCATAGCTTTCAGGAGTTGTTCTGCAGGTCCAAGGAAAACCAAGTCATCGTTAAATAGCCTAAGCTTCAGCTCCTCATCCGAGGTTGGTGCCATTCTCAACAATGTTTGTAGTAGCTCTATTGGAAGCTCGTTTCCTGCTTGGAGAAGACATTACTCCGATTATTAATCATTATTATCAGTAAATGTTATGATTCTCACAAATGTAGGAGGATACATATTGTCACTTTGTCTTCAAATATTTAATCAAAAAAATAAGAAAAAATGTATATTTGAGGGAAATTCAAAAGATAATAATAAATATATGTAAATTTTAGTGTGATAGTATTAAGAGTACGGTTGAGAACCCTTTAACCCGTGTTCGATTTCTCTCGGTGGCAACGCCTCTTAAGTGGGGTCCCAATAAGTGCGGGCTAGAAGGTTATGTAGGAGTGGGTGCCTCTTCCAAGTTAGCGGAGGGATTAGTTACGCTGTCAAACACCTCACAAGCTGAGGTGGTAGCGGGTGGATACCCCCGTTCCCAAAATTAATATTAAGAACATGAAATATTACAATCATCATCATTATTATTCTTAGCCCAAAATTTTTTGGGTCAAATTTACTAATCCTTCTTCTCAAGTGTCTCGATTTATTTTGATGGTGTTGCACGTAATGTTAACTATCAATCATATAAAAGTTGGCACAAGTTATTCCCGTAATGATAAGGATACAAAGGATATTAATAGCAAAATATAAAAGAGTTCAGAAGAAAATATAATCAAATGACAACTACGATGCATTTCTAATTAAAAAAAAAAAGATGAAGTAAATTTACCTTCCATTAATTCATCACAAACTTCTTCTATTTTCACATTATGTGCCTTTAAAGAGATGGCCAAATTCTGCGATTTCTTCTGCTCAAGAATCTGTATGCGTTGACCAGAAGAATCATTTCCAAAATCCCTTTTAGAATCATTCCTGCTCTTATCAGCAGCATTGTACCCAAACAAAGTTTCTATCATCTCCTCATTAAACCTATAAAATTAACAAAAATCTACTATTTCAAGATTGAAAAAAATTTTCTAGGGCTGAGTAACTTGAAAACGAAGACATTAAACGCTATTTGTAATGAGGCTTACTGGAATGATCCAGCTTTAAGCTGATGCCAGACCATGGATTGATCATGGTTGGCCATGACCTTATCCCAGAAGAATGGCTTCAGCTTGGTCTTGACACTGTCAGTATCAACATTTTCTTTTGTAGAATCATTTTTCATGGGATAAGAATTTGCATAAGAACTTGAATTTTCTTGTGGAAGACAGGAAGAGCCTTTTGGCGGCAGTGGCGCCCTCCTTTAGGAGGGGGAGGAGCAGGCTTTGGTTTAGGACGCGGAGGAGGTGGGGCCGGAGGAGGCGCAGAAGTTCTTTCAGGAGGTGGCTTGAGAGGTGGTGGAGGTGGCACTCCTGCCGGAGAAGGATTGAGAGGTGCATTTGTAAGCTCACTTGAACTTGAAGCTACAGAATGCCCATCAGATAAGGTAGCATTTTGGTTCGGGTCAGCTTTAAAATATGAACCAAACTTATCTTTGTACAAACCAAAAGAATTCTGCGATGAACCTGAAAATAGAAATTGTAGATTCAACATCCATAGATCATAACATGATTTTATAGTTGGAAGAACAACAAAGCATATACATACCAGAGAAGTCACTAAGGCTTAAGGAAAAAATTGGTCTCTCATCATTTTTCCCATTGACAGTCTGATACTTGCTTCCAGCATATCTATTACAGCAACAAAAGAACAATGCAACAAGTGTAAAAGTATCTGCTGCTGTTACTACCACTGCAATAATAATTGTTTGAAAACTGTTGCTTGCAGCAGAAAGATGAGGTATTGGATAAACTTGGGGCTCAAGGAAGTGATCTGATGATGGAGTTTGAGAAAAATCCCCATGATCATCTTTAGGCAAGGGGGGTTCATTGGGAGGTAATGACAGAACAGGAGCAAGCCGTTTAAATCCGATAGCGGGGGTTGGGGCTGGAGGTAGAGCTACGACTGGAGCCAGAGCTGAGCTTCGAGTTTGGATTCGATGACTTGGACTTAGAGTTGGAGCTGGAGATGGGTCAGAGGGCCTTTTGAAAGAGAATCTTGCTCGAGCATTCTTGAAAAATGAGTAGCAGGCCTGTGCATTAGGCTGATATCTGGGAAAACAGGAAGGATATTTTGCTTGATCAGACAGTCAATAAGAGAGCGCTTCATGTCAGGGGTAAGGTGAGTGAGGGTCTCTTGCATGTCTTTCCATACATGTTCAGTGGAAGAATCCAGAATGCTATGTATTATTACCAAATCTGAAGCAATCATGACTGATTTTGTTCCAAACAAATCAAGCATGCAATTTGACCATACATGTTCCATCTGCATTTCTGCATTCATAGGATCTTTTCAGAAACTACAGACAGTATAACCGATTGATCAGAGAAGTTAAATTTAAAGAAGCGTCCGATTATGCTAGTAAGATTTAGGCTTCTTAAAGCAGTTTTTTAGTATTAAGATTTTAATTTTTGAACTAAAAAATTGTTTTAAGAAGTAGTAAGAAAACCGTCCCAAACGAAGCCTCAGTTGTTTCAAAGTAGTTTCAGGTGACATGCATCCGACAATTAAATATAATCTCTTGGACAATTACAAAGAGACTATACACTACAGTTGAGTAATGCAAAATTTACCGATCTAGTACAGTTTAGCTAGCTAATGGATACAATGTAGTATAGCAAAATATGCAGAGATGAAAACTATTTAACAAATCCATAAATAACTTATATTGTTGTGCAGAAGGACAGGGAGAAAGTGCACATATTCTATGAAAGAAAATGTAGTTTTGTTCCCATTTGGGGAACATGAACATCTTTAGGTCACAATATATTATTACTTTGCATAATCGTAATAGTCATTCATCAAACACATCCTCCAGTTCACGAAATAATCTTCAGAAATTCATCAAATTTATGCAGGAAAATATATTTCACCCAAATACTGTGAAGCAAGCGGAAATTGATGGCAAGATATTACAACTATGCTTGCTTCAAGAGGAATACTATTATTTAGCCATCAGATAACAATAAATAGACATATGGCTACAAACTCGTGTTGCACATTCATCAGTAAAGAGGCTTGGAAAATCATAGTAAAACAATGCGTTATATTGATAAACAAGTAGAGCATAGCTGAATCATTTCCAAAAAAAAAAATGAAATTAATAGGTGAGGAAAATCAATTTGGAGAATGGACAAAAATGCATATAGCCTCTTGACTGCTTATCAGCTCATAGTAATTTTTTATGGGGGTACAATCATTCACAGAAATAGTTTAGCTGCAGCTTTCTTCATAGCTCTATTTTTTCCTAGTGTCTCCAATGAAACCAACATGGGGGTGAAAAAAAAAAAATCACCCTTTCTATTCTATTATAATTAACTATTTTTCTATGGATTAAAGCTTAAAAGGAAAGTAATCGCAACCATCAATCATATTTCTTGGCCTTGATTTTTATTCATCTGTATATGGCAATGTTCATATTTTTCCCATTCATTGTGACGTGATCAATACTGCATCAAACAAAAGCATATTGCAATTTTGCTTAAAAATTAACACATAAGCATTACAAATCATTACTATTCACATGAGAAAATTTCTACGCTATACAGAAAGAACGCGCAAGAAGAAAAAGATCAAGTTCTTTCATCAAATATCAATAATAATAACAAAACAATTCTTACCATTTCATCTCCCGTACCTGACAAATCCGTTATCATCGTATCCTCGGATCCAAAGAACAATCCATCGCCCGCTCGCCTTCCTCTCGAACCCCTCGGTACGGCAAATACTAGGAAAAAAACCGCACACGCGGCTAAAAGAACATCACTTCTCATAGCCATCATACATCGGAACGAGCTCTCAGATAGGATCAGCCTTTATCAACTCATCGATAGCTGCAATCTGTGCTTCCGATCAAAAATCCTATCAATCCAATCTCGGAAGACCCGAATAACCTTTCCTCATATAATGGAAAAATGGCTTGACGAATGCAGAAGCCCCTGCCGCGAAATGCGAAGAAAAGGCGTAGAATATCAGAGGAGGAAAAGAACGAAGCCTTTGATTCCTCTTCCGGCGAGTTTCGTCGAGGAAAGGGGTCCTTCCGACGTGGTGGAAATCAAGACTGCCTGAGATTTAGGTTTCGACGTTTCGTGCGGCGACGAGCTGGTGATAAATAGCGCATTTGATTCTCTTCATAGGTTCTGGAGCCGAAACGTGAGAGGGAGCGACTAATAAAGCTGTCAGTATATTTTTTTCATCAAATAAAAATTATTATTATTATTATTATTTATATTATTTATTTTTATGTTTTATTAAACTAAAGAGAGAAAATTATACTTTTGACATGAATTAGAAAATATATTTACTATTTAATTTTTGAAAAAATAATTTAAAATTTTATTTTAGGTAAAGATATTCTTACTTTTTGAAAGTTTTGATAGCAAAAATACTTATTATCATTGCAATTCTGATTTGAAAAATTATTGAATAAAGTTCAAATATTAATAAATATAATTTATTATTAAATATTAAAATATTATTTAAAAATTATAAATAGTTGAAACTTATTTGAATACTTAATGAACTTTTTTTATACATCAAATAAGTGTGTTAGAATAAGTTTATATAAGTTAATGTTGAAAAATTTTATAAAAGATCAAATTAGTTCATCCAATTATACAATTATACAAGCAGTTATAGGGTCCTCTGGCGGACCACCCAAATTCGCTTTCCCTTATTGGAAATATAAAAAATCCAATATGCTTATAAAAATTTAAATTAGCCAAGAAATAAATTTTATGATTCTGTTTTGGGATGACTTCTAAAACAGTTTTTTTAGTACAAAAATTTCTAGGTTAGTACCAAAAAATTTTGGAACTATAAATTTTTTATGCTAGAAAGATGCTTTTTGAAATAGTAAGAAAGTGTCTCAAAAACAAAGCTATTAACTAAGGTGCGTAAACAGTGAGATAAAAGGAGAATATTAGTCCTTTGAAATAATTGTCCATAAAAAAAAAGAGAATAAGAAATGCAAGAAAGAAACAGTACGTAAAGAAATTTCTAGGTGATGAATAACATCTCTGATTCTAATAATAATTAAAGTATTTATGCAGCCATCAATATCGTATTTTTCAATTACACTACTTAAGTATGTTCGTTTGGGATGTGTTATACTCTATTGTTTTCTAGAGCAAAAATTTCTCTTGAACAAAAAATTTTGTGTGCTAATAAAACATGATTTATAAAGCAATAAGAAAGCTGGTCCCAATGAAATCTAGAAGAAACAAATTGGCACCAAAGAAAATATCACATGAACCATATTATTTATAATTCTCATGAACTTTTTTTTTAATTTCTTCAAAATAAAAATTCAACGTGAAGATATGTTAATATTCTTGGGATGGCACAAGAAGCTTTTATTCAACTTCTTGGACAGGGTCGAAAGATGAGAAAGAAGGAAGGGAGTAGGAGATAAATAATTTGAAATTTTATTTGCTAAACCATATCTCCTATTACAGGTCATATGTAATATATAAGACACTAATGAACTACATCAGTGGCAATATAAGCCATACAAGAAACTAAAAAGAACACCTAAAAGTAACAGTAATATACACAAATATAATAAGTTGGATATCAAAAACAAACTCTAATAATCTCTACCTTGATCCAACTTCTATTAATTGACCATTGAAAAACATCTGAATCAATCCATTCAAATCTCCTTAATTCTGTTACCACAGCAGTTAATGTACCTTTTGAGTTCAACCTTTTTTCATTTCTCTTTATTCGAACAATTTTTTTGAAATGTCCATCTTTGTGGCAAAGATACACTTACTATAGGAAATAATGTATTTTCTGGCGGAAGATAAATGTCCATCAGAAATCCCAAAAGAAATTTTCGGACGAACTTATTCCCAGCGAATTTTCTGACAAAATTCCGACGGATTCACTGCAGGGAAAATAGTGCGTTGTGCCGACCTGGTAAATATCCCACCAAAAAAATGCCGCTAAATCCATTGAAAAGTAATCATGTATAGCAAATTTTGGCTGAAAACTTATTGCGAATAGTTAAAGCACACGGCGTCAGAAGACATGTTACCATCCCAAAATGTTATGGCAAAAAAATTTCAGGTGAAATTCCCCGGGACGCGAAAACAAAACAAAAACAAAAAAAAAAATTGATAGATCCAGCTGGGCTCACCGGAAAGCCATGCCAGCCTCCGCCTTGGGGCCACCGTAACCTTGAATGGGCCTGCCATGGCTTTCCGCATAACCCCGCTGGCCCGCATCGACTCGCTCTGGCCTTACAAGGTGACTTGCTGCCAGCGTAGATTGGACCTACTCGCGACCCGCACGCCTGGCTTACAAGGTTTCGAACCGCCATCCCTGTAGCTTCTCTTCCTACCGCATAACCACTATGACCACCACTGCAAAATTAGTACAAAGAGGTGGTTCTTTTGTTTATTTATATTATAATAGACAAAATATTTTATTTAAAAAATTAATATATTTATAAGATCAAAATAATTTAATATATTTAATATAATTATTTAAAATATTAAAAGTTGAGTTTATAATTAATTAAATATACATTTTATAAAAATTAAATAATTAATTTAAATTTGTAAAAGTGTATTGGGTTATTTATTTTATTTTTTTTAAAAAATTACTATATTTAAAAGAATAATCTCTTTTTTCTTGAGATAAAGAATAATTTATTCAAATTTAATTTAACAATAATTATCTAAACTTTTTTTAAATTTATTTTATTTATTGCAGATATTTAATATTAATTAACAAAATGATTAATGTAAATATTTCATATTGTTCATCTTTTCAGAAATCTAAAATTTCGTCAGAAATTGCAGGTTTGGGACTAGATGGATTCCCGCGCGCCCTGCTCCGCCTATTTGAGAGAGAAATGAAGAGTGGGTGAGCAAATTCGATTCTTGATACGTTTGAAAAGCTGCAATGACGAGGTTAGCAGAAAACAAGCCAGTAGAGGATATGATCGAAAGGTTACTTCCATTATGCTCCTCAGTATATAAAGGCAGAATGAGGAGAAATTCCTTGTTGGCAAGAACAAGCCGTTAGAGAGCGGCTGGGTGCAGAGAGAAGAGGACGCGCCACACGAAATGATGCACCTTTTTACATGTGTACTCAGTCAGGCACAATGTTATGCATACCGTTTACAACAAGTATATATTACTCTTCTCTCTCACTGTCTCATTGCGTGTCTCTTCTCTCTACATGGCTTGCAAGTCAATCAACCACGAAGAGAAACTCAAAGTCCAATAACTCCAAGGGCATGCAACCCTTCCGAAAAATGAGAAAAAATGATTATTGCCTCATAGCTATGTGGCGCTCAAGCTTCTGTCGACATTGATGTTGCATCGCTCAAACCGGCCAGCGCTGAGCTTGACAGTATGCTCATCCCTTCACACGATCTAGCACGACCGCGGAGCGCTTGGAAGATAAGGGGTGTTCGAGTACAAGGTCATACGTATAGATAATAATATGATATAATAAAACACCCAAACCCAAGTAGAGGTTAAAACCCACTGTACCCAGAAGCATGATATATTTAATAATGGGGTATAGGACATAGAATAACCGATTGATTAGCACAAAACTACATTTCTACCATAAATAACAATAAGTTGAAGGAAATTGGGCTTACCGCTAAATACCTAGCTATTTTCTTAAAACAAATTTTTTTAAAAGTAGAAAAAATAATTATCCCAAACCAAAACTAAACTCTCATATTCTCTGCCAACCCGAAATTCTACTATTTTTTAAATAAATTTATTAATTATAAAATATTCAAGGCATGCTCGCTAGGAAATGCCAAATTATTTTTGGTAATTCACTCTTTTTTGTTTTGTTAATATGCTCTTATTACTTATAATTTGTGCCTTTCTCTCCCCTCCCCTTCCGAATTACTAAGACAATACATAATAACAATACATTTTTCTCCACCCAACTCATGTCCTTGCTTTCTTACTGCCTCATACATGCCATTCTCGTTGGCTTCATCCTTCCGACCCTTCGTTCTCTTGCGCATTGTAGACGCATCGTCTATGCTTAGATTGCCCCCTGACCATTTGCATCTACTTAACTTTTATAGCTTGGTTATTCTATTGTATATCGTCAATTCTATAACTTCACTATAGACAATTTTTTCATTACCATTGTTGTAAATGCCAATAATAATATGTTATTTACTATTGCATTTATTTTGTTGAGTACTTTTTTATGATGTTATAGCAATATTACATCAGCTAGGTTTTGCTCTCAAAATCTATTAAAATTTTCCTTTTACGCGTGATAGTTAATATATTATTAATCATAATATATATGAAATATTAATATATAATATTATTTAATTATATATTTTGGTTTGGTTGTGTCTAATATTTCTTGAGTCTTTATCTTTGCAAATCAATGATACTTAATTGTTGAGTTGATAGTTCCATATTTGGCATGACTTTAACACTTTTTGCAACTTATAAGTTTTGATGATTGCCAAACATTATTTTCAACATGTGGTAGTTATATCTCCTACAATTTTTTAGAAGAATTGTATTTGTTCTTAGTTGTAACGTAGGAAAAACTCAGACTCCAGACACGAAGACTTCAAATTAAATTTTAGCGCATGAGATAACCTTTCTGTAAAATTTGAAGCTTGCCTTTATTAGAAATTCAAATTGAAAGGAGCAGATTGTAACTGAGTGAATAAAAAACATGCCACATAAATAAGGGAGATCATATAAAAATTTGTATGATCGTACAGTACGATTTGAGTTCGTTACTGGACGATCAGAGACAGTTAATTCCT